CCAGAAAGACACTGAAATTGCATTGTGGATTTTGTTTCTTGAAGACCAAATACTTAATATTTAGAAAGCACATGAGGCTTTTAAAATTCTTGGAAAATTTAGTTAAACATATTTTTCCCCAGATATTTAAAAAGTAAGCTTCCCCCCCCCCAATCCTTCTAAAAGGAATCACCGGCACTTAGGAAAGCTACTGAAAGCAATCCTAGAGATTTTCCTAAGGCTTTCAAGATGTTGAAAGATTATTGTGTTCCGAGGAAATAAAAGCTCTAGCATTCACTTGGAGCAAAGAAAACAGGGCTGAAGAGATTTCTCATCTCTACATATTGGTGTTAATAAGCATGTATTTAAGAAAACACACACAGTTTGAGAAATTTAATTTTTTTTTACGGTACCCTCTAAACATACTAGACTGGATCCTCAGAAATACGGAAAGATTGGTCTACTTATCTATACTAAAGCCCCCAATAAGAATCTAAAAATCTAGGCAGCTGAGCTGATCCATAGTGACCACCAGCAATATTGGTTTCCACCTCCATCCAACAAGACCAAGTATTTTGTAAAGCTAGTTCACTGCCCATTCAAGACCAAGCCACACCAGCATATTTTGTACCATGGTAGGAACCGCTCACAATAATATATCTGTCCAGAAAGTTTCTCCACTCTCTTACCCCAAGCAATTAAGATTTAATCTAAGCTCAAAGAGGGAAAAAAAGAGAAAGCTCAGAGAGTGCAGATGACATCCTCCTCCTTCCACATTGCCTTGACCCTGTGAACGCAGCTCAAATACAACTCTATACTTACTTCCTCCTCATCCTTATCATTATCACCCATAAAGCAGATGTCTAAATCTTAGGGCACAGGCTGATCTGTTACCAATATCAGCCAGCACAGCTTCTTGTACAATCACGGGGCTACATACAATTCCGCTTTCAGGCTATCTCCATCACTGCCCCATTCAGTTGTGCTTCTACTGACAGTCTAGGAACATGGACATATCGCTTTTAAAAATTCCCTTTGGAAGACAGCTGATTGCAGGGGGGACTGAAGCTTATATCTGTGGATTTTCTTTAAATGTATACTAATTAAACTGAGGATTAGATTTACAGCTTCTAAATTTTATTTATTGCATACATTTTGTAGAAAATCCCTTATTTTCCCCATGGATACAGAAATGACTTTTTTTACGGTCAAATCGCATCTGTGACTTGATCTCCTCTATAAGAAATCCAAAATAAAGATATTTTATCTGTATTTTTCCCTTTGATGCCTTGAATATCGTAAGCTATAGCTAAAACTTTTAAACAAGAAATGAAAGTACGTATGTTGGGACAGTGCCCTCCTGAGGCAAACAGAGAGAGCGAAAAAGGAAAAGGTATATGAATATTTATATTGGGTGCACAACATAAGTATCCCCATAGAAATGTGCAGTTGAAAGAGGGTGTGATAAGAGGTAAAGAACATTAAAGAGAGGTAGCAGGCGACTGGGTGCACCAGTTCCTCAGATATTCTCTTAATATACACCTGATTTTAAAAGTAAAAAAAGATGAAGAGAGAAACAAAGAGAGAAACATGGAATTCAAAAAAACATGGCGGCTATGCTCTACGCCTGGAAGGAAGTGTCAGATCAGATTAAGCAGAAAGCAAAGCTCTTTAGCAGAAAAAGAAAAAAAGGATTTTATTCCTTGATATTCTGACACTCACAGATGCTTCTTTCTCTTTGGATCTGATTTCTCTTTTCATCAGGATTATTCCACACACTCCATCCCCTCAGAAGAACTTAATCCAATCTTTCTTTATTCACCTGTGAAAGTAGTGTGTGGCCTCAAATCAGAGCTGGCTTCAGATGTTTCACGGCATGTGGAATAAAACAAGATGGCGCACATACCACCACTAGCCCCCCACAAATCCTCTGGGATAACCTCTTCCAGCTAGCCTGAACTTAGAGGTTGCAAACTAGCAACCCAGACCACAGAGCTCTGTTCTCCTCTAGAAAGATATGGCCAAAGGACAGCCATTGCTGCTTTTTATCCACCCCATCCAGTATCTGCTAGCTAAGGCAATGGCCACACTATATCTAATGCTAGCCCTGGCCCTGCTCATGATAGCTTTTGGCCATAGTGCATGAACTCATGGGAAGGCAGTGTTCCCCACACACATCACCCAAAGATGGTTGAGCCATCGTGGGTTTTGTTCTATACAGTAGTTTGATGCAGTATAAACAAACAGAAATTGGCAGGTTTCATAGTACTGGTACCCAGTGAAATGTGATGACAGGAGTGCGCTCTGGGTTTTAGTCTTAAGTTTACTCAAGGTGCTAAACTCTATCCCCACAATAGGTTCAGCACTTCTGATGGCTTCTGTAACACCCTTTGAAGTTCAGACTAAAACTCTGAAAGGATTCACCACCCCACAGCACCAGAATTATTATGCTAGTATCACGTGAAACAATGAGCAAATATCTTCATACACCTTGATTCAAATTTTCAGAGAGGCACGGGAAATGTACTTTACAATTGGTTCTGTTCTGTGGGCCACTAACAGACAATTTCTGTCCTCTATTGTCCTGTCTTCTACATGGCAGTAATCACTGGACAATGTGGATTCTTGTCCTTCTTCTCCTTCCCAATTCTCAAAAACAGTCCAACTTTTTAATGATACTGAGCAATCATAGAAATATTGCTAGAAAGCCCGGGATGCCTCTTTAACTGGTTCCAAGCCCTGTTCTATGATTGTGGGGGCATGTTTCATCTAGAAATGTATGCTGGGAGCCAGCGCATCACTTCATCATCATCATCATAGGCATGTAGCACCGCAATCAACAATAGATTAGAAATCTGAAATAGCAGTGGTGCCTGGTGTTGTGAAAATCAAATGCTAGGACTTGGCACAGAGAAATAAAATGGCTTTTGTTTGCTACTGTTAAGTTCTTCTAAGCAGCCAACATTTTCACCATGGAAGAAGCATTCCCTTTTCAAGGGGAACCAACAATGAATTGTGTGCCACACTTCAGGTTTTCTTTGGCATAAACTTTTGTGGGCTGAAGCCCACTGCCAAAAGATCCAAAACACATCTGATGAAGTGGCCTTTAGTTCAAGCATATCCCACATAAAACTACTTCATCTTTAAGGCATTGCATAGTTACTCCTCCCTTGTTTATTTTATTTTATTTTACTTATTTATATTTTCACCCCACCCAACTAGTGACAAAGACACTATTCTGGGCAGCAAACAAATCCCAATAACACAAACTACACAACAAACTCAATTTTTTAAAAAAATCACATAAACAGCAAGCAAGGAACAGAATATCTGAAAATAAAACAACTAACAAAGAATAGTAACTATAAAATAGTTATAAATATTGAGTACAATAATTTTAGGTGGCAAAAACAGGGCAAATTCATAAGTACATACACATACCAAAAAAAAAAAAAGTCCGATCATTCAGCAAGACTACTCTGGGATAAGGCCATAAAAGGCTTGTGAAAAGAACCAGATTTTAAAATGTCTCCTAACTTCCTTGTAACTTAATTATAAGGGATCAGCAAAGACATTAAAATAAAACAATGGTTTGACATTAGAAGTGAGGGGGCTTCTTCCATTGACAGCACGGATGAATATTAGCCCCTTTCGAAATCGCTTTCTCCACAACTCCTGTGGCGTGGAAGATAATGCGCAGGGATTCAAAATAACTGAGTAAGCAAAGAGGAAGGAAGTGATCCCGGCTGGTTTAGAGAATTTAACTGTCTTTAGTGTGAACAATTTACTCTTGCAAACAAGGAGGTGTCTAAGGCAGCTGCCGTGAGCCTCTCTCTCCTTCCTTTTCCAAGCAATTTCTTTTCACTGCATGCTGGGCCAACCCACGGCCATTTTATATCCCACCAACAAACATCTTCTAATCCTGCCTGATTCTTACAGGGCTTAACACCATCTAGCATAGCTATTGATAGAGATCTAGTGGGATTCAGCACTCCCACCTCTGGTATTTGGCAAGTTCCAAGTCCTATTAGGAATCTGAAGCACACAGATTGCATCCAACTCTTTTCCATCCTTCCATCCAACACCTGCACCCATTGTTTATCTAGCTACAAAGACTTAAAAGAGTACAAGCTAAAAGTGAGAGGTCATGCTTTTGATTTAACCTCGGTGCATCTGCAGACTATAGAAATAGCTTCAGCAGTATAACCACTATAGAAGAAAGGAAAACTGTACAGTTTCCGAGCGTTGTAACTATACATTACAGACAACACATAATTACAGGAGTCCATTCCTTCAGTGCTGAAAGCATCTACCTGCCAACCTCAGAGTTTTTCCATGCTTTCCACAGTTCACAATCAGCCCTTTAAATATGGATTTTGCTTGCAAGCCTGCTTAAAAAAAGGTAAAGGTTCCCCTTGACAATTTTGTCCAGTCGTGTCCAACTCTATGGGGCGGTGCTCATCTCCATTTCCAATCCATAGAGCTAGCATTTGTCCACAGACAATCCTCCATGGTCACGTGGCCAGCGTGAGTAGACACGGAATGCCATTTACTTTCCCACCGAGGTGGTACCTATTTATCTACTCACATTTTTGCATTTTGCATGCTTTTGAACTGCTAGGTTGGCGGGAGCTGGGACAAGTAACAGGGGCTCACTCCGTCGCGTGGATTTGATCTTACGACTGCAGGTCTTCTGACCTCGCAGCACAGAGGCTTCAGTGGTTTAACCTACAGTGCCAGATGTTAAGGTCTGGTGGAATCAGGTCTCTAGAATATGAAATTTCAGCCAGAATTATGAGTTATCTGTAACATAGAGTTGGACCTTGGTTAAAGCCAGTTATTACTGTGTAATAGTGGGTACCCGGGAGCTTCTTTGAGATTCCAGCTCCAGTCAGTCCCAGGCAGCATGGGCTATTTTGACCCCTGGAAAGCAACTGGTTTCCCCAACGCACCTCTACAACACTGCACAACAATGCTGAATTATTATTTATTGAAGCTGAAGTCTATACCAATCATCTTACCTAGCACCACTGATATCCACCCCGACCATCAACTGTCCATTCAATGAAAGGATCTCATCTCGCAAGCGAACTTTTCCGCACTTCCCTGCTGGGCTGTTTTTCTTTAAATCTGTGACCCAGATGCTTCCAACATCAAGCACAGGACCTTTGTGGCCTTTCTTTTTCTTCCCTGCCCTCCGCTTGTCTCCGTAGTCGCCCAAAGCAGGGATGTTCCCAAAGCTCAGGCCGAGAGACTCTGCCTTTCCGGGATCCTTGGTGAGGTAAACTGTACAGATCTCTGCATCCACAGAGCTTGTGTTGTGTGGCAGTTTCCCCTCTTCTGCCGGGAAGTTCAACTGGATGTACTCCCGCAGCTTCTTAATGGCCGAATGGCACAGTCTCTGCTCTGGTTCTTCCATTTCCCCCCTCAGGTGACTCTGGAGCCACCGATAAAGGATGGGAAGGAACAGCACTGCATTTTCTGGAGTGATGGGCATTGTGGGAACGCCAGGATCCCATTAGGTGAGGAACTGATCCCCAGAATGGGTGACCAAAACTTGTCCATGGCATGTTTCACGGTAACTAGGTATTTCATCAACAGCCATGCTGAACAAGTGCCCACACAGGAAGGGAAAATAAAACGAAAACAAGAAGAACAGTTTTCTCTTTTTCTCCCTATTTGGCCAAAATAACAGAACGGCTTTTTATGAAGGAGAGTAAAAACAGGTGCTCTGGAGAATTCAACAAGAAGAGGAAGGAAAAGACTGGAACGTCATGTTTGACTCTGTCCACAGCTGTTCATACAGAAATCACTCGGGCATCCAGTTATTCCACTATCGGAGACTCTAAACTGCTCTTCCACATTCATCAACACCTGCCTGACCTAGAAAGAGAAAAACAGCACAGTTAAAACCATAAATCTCACTCTCAAATAAAGGATGGGAGAGCTGTCTGCAATGCTCATTAAATGAGAAAGCTTTTCTTGACATTATTCCATTTGCTCATAAATTTTATAATCTGCTTATTTTGTTTTCTATACACTCTTGGGTTTTCCACAACATTCTGAAAAGACTGGAGAGTAGGAATACAATAACATGCTTTATAGCTATGCAAATAAGGGCTTCAAACACGCACACACAGGCCTTGCATCTCTCTGCCTATCCATGTGAAAACCAATTTTCAATATTCTGCAGGGTCAGTCAGTCAAAATATTTTAGCCTACAAGCTCCATAGTTCCTGGCAGTTATGCTATGCCTGATGGGAGCTATAGTACTAAAGTTTTTGCAGCCTTGCATGCTGCTTTAACAGGTTTGGCTAGGAGGAACCTTTGTGGTCTGGGGTGACTTTTAATCCATCCAGCACTGACCCCTTGTTCCTTCCCTGCCTCTGAATTCATAGAGAATCCCATCTCTCTGCTCTGTCTCTCTTTCCCTCTCTTTAGTCTGTGGCAGTTTCTTGAAGCAGTCAGTCATGTCTGTCAGTTTTTTGTTTGATCAGTTCAATTGTAAGTAAGAACACCTTTTATTTTTTCCCCAGAAAACATTCTGAAACAGGGATTTTGACCAAACTTGCACATCCAAATCAGCTGCCCAATAGCTATTCCAATGCAGAATCAATTATGGGCTGGAACATGTGTTTGCTTAAAGATGTTCTTAACAACAGGGGGCCCCAACCCCCCAGACTGCAGCCCAGTACTGAGCCAACCCCCAGTCCGCAGCCCAGTGCTGGGCTGCGGCCTTGGCAGGACCGGGCTCCAGAGACAGATTTCCCGCCCCCTGCATGCACTCCCCTCACGAACACCCACACACATGCATGGCCTGCCCACTTGCCCGCATGGGGTGTCCCACCCACGCGCACACACATGGGTGCCCCACCATCCGTGCATGCACGTGAGTGCAACCTGCCCACCCGCAAGCACACCCTGCCCCCCCATGTATGTGCGAGCATACGCCATACCCAACTGCGAGCACACCCCGCCCACCTGTGAGCGCAGGGGTGCCCAGCCCAACTCACATATGGACCCAGCCCCCCAACCAGTCCACGGTTTGGAAAAGGTTGGGGACTATTGTTTAACAAGGTTCTAATGGTTTCCAATCACTATTTGGAAAAGTTCCTTCTTTGGGACTAGAAGTCCCAGACGTCCCTAGTCAGCATGGTCAGTGACCTTTCTTCCAAAGTCTCTGGGCAATGCCACCTGAGGAATTTTGTATACCTCAGGTAGCCTGGGAAGGGAAAATAGCAATCTTGCATGTACTAACACTGGGTATCGGGAGAGAGGGATTTTACAACTTCATGTGATTGACCTCTGCCACTAACTTAATTGGTAAGTTTTTTTCCCACCTCTGGAACTTGAGGTAAACCCCCACCCTCTCTTCCTATTTGTTTACTTGCTTCCATTGTCTTTGTTGTTGATTAATTCTTCTTCCTTTGACCAAGCAACAAGCATGGGGCGTGGGTTCTTCCATACAGCAGAGACTAAATTTTTATCTGTTTTATTCTTCTGATTGTAACTAGAGAGGTAAATGTAAGTAAAGACAATAACTTTTCAACATTAAATGTTTCTGGAGTACTTTTATGACAGCAAAGTGCTAGGGGCTGATCTCTCCACAGAGATTATCTCTCCGTGACTTCTCTGTGTTGCTGTTCTTTTCTATGCTAAAAAAAAGGAATAACCAAAAATTCTCTTTGATTATTAGAAGGAATTACTGAAATGCTGAGAAAATCTGAGAGGGAGCTGTTCAATCAGTTTTTCACACCTTCCATAGTTTGCAGATTAGCTTGCTTTGTTTGGTGAGTAATCTTCAGTAGTAAACAGAGGCTTCATTTGCAACTACGATTGCTCAGTCACAAAGGATTTGTCTGAATCACATCTCTGGAACACCAACAGATTTTCCTCGTCTAATGATAGGTTAGCTGTAATGTACAGTTTCACCCTTTTAAGCTTGCTGTCTTGAGATTGACTGATTGATTATACCATCCATCAAGTGGCATGCTTCTCCTCTGGGCTGTTTAGGAGCGTAAGCACAAAACATCAACGCCCAGAAAAGGATTAGTGAGCACCAATCCTTCCAACAGTAATCCGCTGCATTTATATTCTAAGCACAGATCAAAGTGTTCCCCTTTTCTGCCAGCTCTTCCGACTTCTACTAGAGATGTGCATATTTCTATTTTTGGACTACACCTCCATAGGCAGCCCACCAACCCACTCACTTGTGTGGCCACAACTAGCTACTTCTATGTCCAAGGTTAAAATAACAAGTTGCACTTCCCAGTTTCCACATCATCTACTCTTCGCTACTTTCCGAAAAGAGCGCAAGAGCAGAAAGTACAGAATCACCAAAGTACTGTACATCATATCAGACCGTGTCTGAAATTTGCCACCCTTGGTTCAGTTTGAATTTATAAGCCCTATTCAGTTGCATCTTCCGACCTGGATAAGTTCACCATCACACTTAAAAGGGAGCAGCGAACCCTTCCTCGCTCCATCATCACTTTCTGTATGTGGAAGGTGGCAAGCCTGAAGGGGATATGTTTCTGCATGTACTCAGGGTGTATATGTAAAGAAAAATCTTGGAAAATCGGGGTTCTTGTTCATGTGCAGATCCTACACATAAGCAGGGATGTCTCCCCTATAGATATTCAGCTTTCCACATGTAGAAACTGAAGATTGTGAGGTGAGGTTCCTTTCTGATGGTGAACTAATCCGGGCAGGGAACAACGGAACAGGTATTTCCGATTGAGCTCTTTCCTTTCAATTTTATACATTCTTTCTGCATCCTTCGCCTTGTGTCTGACTTGTATAGTTCTTGTTAACAGCTCCGCTCACTTGTCACCTAGGGGTACCATGCTTTTCCTGAAACGTAAGGCTCTTGTAACTTGTGCTTCTATATCCCTAGGCATTTTAACAGACTTCCTCTGAATGCCGTTACTGCAGCCACTGGTTTGTCTTTTTTTTTGTGTGTGCCATTTTGCTCCCCATTTATGAAACTTACACATGGTAGATTTCATCTTATAGGAATTCTAATGCTGATCCAGTTTGCCCCTGAAAGGGTATCAAACACATGAAATCACACAAGAATCGCCCTTAGAGTATCTGAAGAACTCTGGCTTTAAGAGATCCATAGATGTACATTTGGATGTTCAAATTATCATGTGAAATACGGATATTGGAGGCCCATAAAGTCCACAGATACATTTGTTTATAATATTTATTGCGTCTGTTTCCCACTCACATGATTTGCTACTGGGCAAAATCCTATTTCATGAAGCTACACCAATCTAAAGTGGATCTGGCACTTAACTTAAACTAATTGAAAGCTTCCTAACCCCCCACTTTCAGGTTCGTCTTTCCCTGGAGAAGCCTTTCAGAGCATCAAGATGGGGTGGGGAGGCTTTAGTGCTCAAAACTCGCCATTGGATCACCATTGGTAATCCTGTTCCCAGTGGCAGCAATCCAGCAGCATGTTTTGAGTATTAAAGGTTTCCTCTATTTCAAAAGTTGGCAGGAAAAAATAATTGGTTTGTTTGAATGATGGTGCTGGAGGAGAGCTTTGCAGACACCCTGGACTGTCAGACAGATGAACAAGCGGGTCCTAAAACAAATCAAGCCTGAACTATCTCTGAAGGCAAAAATGATGCAACTGATACTGTCCTACTTTGGGCACATTATGAGAAGGCAGGATTCTCTGGGAAAGGCAGGATTCTCTGGGAAAGACAGTCATGCTGGGAAAGGTGGAAGGCAGCAGGAAAAGAGGAAGAACAAATAAAAGATGGATTGATTCCCTACAAGAAGCCACAGCTTTGAAGGTACAAGAGCTGAGCAGGGCTTTTGGGGACAAGACACTTTGGAAGTAATTTATTCATAGTCTAGAGCAGTGGTCCCCAACTTTGTTGCCTCCATGGACCAGTTTAGTGTATGTGCAGGGGGGGGAGTGGGGGAGTGGCCGTGCATGTGTGGGAGGGACCGTGCATGTGTGGGACGAGTTTGCAAGTATATGTGGGGGGGTTGTCTTCACAACCCAGTCCCGGCTCAGCTACGGACCAGGACTGGTCTGCGGACCGGGGGTTGGGGAGCCCTTGTCATGAGTTCAGCCGAAGAAGATCTGGAATCTGAGGAGTTAATTACAGCTGAGGAAAGTGCTGGGCAATTAGAAACACAGACAGCTGAATCATCATCAGATTCTCCTCCCCCTGTAGCCAGGGTGGGGGCTAAGCTTAGGCAAAGACTCATGACACGAAGGTCAAAGGATCGTATAAATGCTTCCCATATCAAAATCAGGCTGACCAGCCCTGAGTTTTAGCAGGATGAAGTGTTTAGATGACTGTTGCTGCTATAAAATCTGCACCCAGAGGCTTGGAAGTTTGTGGGAGCAACAAGTCAGCACTCTGGCTTGCATCCACGCTCCTGCTTATCTTGGACCTTGTTCTCTGGACCCTTGGCTTTGGACTTTGACTGCTGACTATGGTTTGTGTTTTGACTTTGGCATTTTGGTATCTGCTTTGCATCTTATGGACTTCTGATATTAGACTGGCTTATTGGACTTTTGCCTGTTGAAACCCCCTGGGAATGTGACACCCCTGGTCTAGAGGGAGTGGTTTTCAATTACCTTAAATCTGTTATGTCTAGCACCAGATCCAGTACTGAGAATCAACAAGCAAGGGCATGGGACTGTCTTTAGACTAAGACATCATTCATCTTTCTGTGAGAATCATAAATGCCCTAACAGATTCTGTGAGTGTGTGTGAGTGTGGGGGGGGCACACAAAATCTACGTGAAAGGAAAAGAACTGTATATTTTAAAAATGGGTGTGCCTGAAGAACAATGTTGCACAAACATTTATATTTCTCAGGACTACCTATCAAACCAGCCCTATAGCATT